TCATTTTCTCACAGACTTTTCTATACAATCTGACTTTTTCGGAACCAGTAGAGACTCCCCCCGCAGCGTTCAGTTATTATGCTCCAAATATCTGGAACAAACTCCCAGAAACCTGCAGGTCCGGTGCAACTCTGACTACTTTTAAATCCAGACTGAAGACTTTTCTTTTTGTCGCTGAAACTGAGCCGTTGTGTTCATCAGTAAAGTGGAACTTCTGTGTGAACTATTCATATCTTAAACTGCTCTGTAACTTTTTATTCATGTCTTTTTTCTTTTAATGTTTCTTTTATTATCTTTTACTGATTTTAAATGCCTTTGTCTGAATGTCTTTCATTTTTGTAAAGCACCTTGAATTGCCTTGTGTTGAAAGGTGCTATATAAATAAACTTGCCTTGCCGGCTATTGGCTTTACTTTTCCGAGGTGGATGTTGACGCTAAGGTGACAGCAAATATTTCAGAGACAAATTTCTCTAAATAAGTTAGAATGAAACTAAACATACAGTGGGCCATAGCTGCTGTAGATACCATATGAGATAAGTTGGAAAAAAGTGCATCTTTTGTAATTTGGATGAAACAACCCTTCAGATAAACACTTGGCCAATAACATTATTGATTGTTTATAATATATTTGTGAATATATTTGCGACCACAATGAAGCCAAGAATTACTACCAACCTTTAGATACTGTACTGCCTTCTCTCCCATCTGAGGCCCAGAATAGCACTGGGCCCAAACAGGTGCCAGGTTGGATGGGTAAAACTCAAAGTGTTTGGAGTGTGTCACCAGGTTGAAGTCAAACCAGGCTCCTCTCTCAGCATCCCACAGCAAAGACTCTATGGCCTCCAGTCTGCGGGCGGCTGCCTGGTCATACTGTGCGGCTGAGTCACCATCACCTGTCAGGAAACAGCACATCATTACGCAACAGCAGTTTGGGGCTAAAAGAACTACGCAGGCAAAGAAAAGTTAGTGCCAAGGTCAAATGATGCTCAAGTACTTGCCCAGTATCCTGTGAAATGAAGCAAGAGTCTTCTCAGTGAGGCACAGCAGGGCATTAAGGTCAGTTGGCAGGATTTGGCTGGTTCTGGTGTCCCCCAGGGTGCCGTTGTTCTGCCCATCACGATCTACATACCAGCGGGATGTGAAGTCCCAACCAGACTCTGCACCCGCTTTCAGTTCCATCCACAGCTGCTCCTTGCGGTCTGAAGGCAAGAAAAAAACAGTAGAGCCACAACCAATCAGCATCCAGTGTTGTACTTATTCTGTGTGTCATGTTTGTTAACTGGATGTGGAAAACACTAAATATGCACCTTCTGAAAAACATGTTTGTTTCAGTTTTGCCTTTTTATTTTTTACTACGAGCTTTAGAGAAAATAGAATCTCTTTCAAGACGGAGAAAATAACTAAATGACCATGACTATTTGTTATTATTAAATATATTCTTACATAAAAGGAAAACATTTTCAGGAATCTGTGCACCGCAAACACATTTCGGATGTGTTTTTCTTTAGCATCTTGGAAAACAACTGAGTATTACCCCTTTGAACAGCTTCTCTTAAAACAATGGTTCAGGGTCAATGTGAAATAATGAATGTTTATTCATTAAAACAGGGTACGGATTCATTTTCCGAGTGGATATGTTTGGCACAAATTATCCTTGAATAATTGTTCTGTTGGGGAGAGCTTATAATACTACAGTACACCCTTCAGCAATACCCTTAAGTCCATCTCTCATGGAATAAAACCAAGACCATAGCCCTTCTCGAAAAGATTCATTCAATCAGCAGAATATGAACGACAATAAAGCCTTTACCTTCAGTAAGTCCTTCAGCTAATTCCAGATCATCCGTGTACGATTCAGGCCTTGAAAGAAAACAAAAACAAAGTGAAGTGAAGGCCAACTCTGCATACCAAAGACATCTTACAATTGTTCATTATTTACTCTGGATTTATTCAGGTGTACCTGGGGGAGCCCACCTGCACATGATACCGGTTCAGTACATGCTGAGCCCCGTTCAGCGTCACAGCCACAGAGCGGTTCTGCATCCAGAAGCGGTACTCCTGCTCCAGAGTGGGCAAAGCTCCTCTAAAATAGTCAAATGTGAAGTGAGTACAGACAGGAGCGAAAAACATTTAATTAAACTACATTTCACAGTCTTTGAAGGGATCCAATTATGCTCATTTCCAGGTTTCATATTTGTATTCTGTGCCTCATCTGTGACATGTTTCCATGCTTTAATGTTCAAAAAGCTCTTTCATTTCTTTTTTTGCCTGTGCAGCACCTCTTTTCACCCTCCGTCTGAAACCAGAGCCCAGTCTGCTCTGATTGGTTAGCTGGACGGCTCTGTTGTGATTGGTCAACTGCTTAGTGATGTCCTGCGCCTTAGCAATGTAAGGGAGCGCTAGACAATAGATATCCGAGTGATATCTTGTGATGTCACTATGTTACAGGAGTAAACAAAGGAGTCCAATGGAGGAGGGGGGGATATATAACACTACAGGAAAGAGAAAACCTCAAACAGCATAATAGGACCCCTTTAATAGCATTACGTTGTGTGTGTCTTTCTAAATAAGCATGTTAGGAGAAACAAACTGTAGGCACAGAAAGATAGGAGCACTGAGGTTCTGATGTTTATTATGCCTTTTTCCTTCTGTTTTGGAGGAGATGCAGCTGAAAAATGATAATGTGTGGTGCAGGACATCAGCTCGGCCATATTATCACCTGAGAAACTCTTTATCCATGGTAGCTCGATAGTAGCTGTCCACCATTAGAGTGAGGAATGGAGGCTGGCTGCGCCTTTCATAGTAAATCCGACCACCATTTGGAATGAATCCATATCTGTGAAATTGTGAAATCTGATAATGCACAAATCACGAAATCCCCCCCTGGAGAGTTCCACATCCAAAGTGTACAACTTAGGATGTTATCTGCAGTGCGGTGGACTTCTAAGTGAGAGATGAAACTTGCTTTAAGGCTCACCTGTTGACAAGGTAGAGGAAGTTTTGAATCATCCCGTGTGCCGTGTCTGTCATCTCCGACAGCAGGAGGCCGTTGATGACCCAGTAGGAGTCCCTGTTGGGCACAGAGAGGTGAACATCACTGTCTGCACACGGCACCAAGCTGGGCTTTCAGCAGAGACCCCTGCCTGGGTCTGACCCAGAGAGTCTTTTCTCCCAGACAGCTGAGAGACAGCCTTCATCCTTCACTCACCAGTAGTAGAGCTCCCTGAAGCGCCCACCAGGCACAACAACAGGGTGCGGGGTGTATATCTGCGAGTAGAGCTCGGGGTGATCTTTGACACCTGTGCGGATCTGGAAGAGACATCATTCTTCAGCAGGCTTTAGACTCAAGTGTAAGTGGATGCTTTAACCTCAATATACATAAGGTAAGTCGTCAGGCATATACGCTTTATACGCTTGTGGACTTGCCTTTAAAATGATGGTACTTACCATGGCTGTGTATTGATTTGATGTGCGCTTTCCTCTTTATGTAAACTATTAAGCTACTAAGTATAGTTTTATCTGAACTTTATATAATAACTTGCTTTGTCCAACAAAGAACAAAACCCCCAAGGTATTAATTGTAATTACAGTCTAATAATTCACATCACAGAAACTGAACACGGTATCTAATTTAGTTTAATATATATATATATTAAATTAGTTAAGGTTAGACTTAATTAGGCCAATCAAATAATCGTTTCACTCATCTCACCTTTCTGCCGAGGGACTTCCACAGATTATGGATTTGTGCAGCCCAGTTACGTAGTTGTTGGTCTGCTATTCCTCCTAGAAACTTTGGCCTGTAAATAGAAAACATAAACAATGTCGACTAACCAAAGAAAAGCAATACTGATCTGATCGAGAATCCTCTAATAACTGGTTCTCACTCGGTATGCCAGTCCGGTGGGGTCCATGACTCAAACTCTGTCCCTGGTTTCTCAAAGTAATTACTGAGGAACTCCTGCAGTTTAGCAGGCGGGACGGTGTTGTTTGGAGATTCATTTGAAAGGTTGCGAAAAGCAGACAAAACAACGTCTAGAAAACAAAGTGGGCAACAAAAGGAGTCGCATGAAGAACAAAAATGTTTTCCCTTCTTTTTAAATTCTTTAAAACATCTTAAACTTACCTGGAGTTTCCCTCAGTTTCATGTCAACAAAGTATTTATCATCATCGAACAGTTTGGCGGTCTGCACCTGATGCAAGATGGGCCCGGTGCAGAATATTTCACTGAAATTCATTTATAGTGGGCAATTATTAAACAGACAAGTAAATGGTATATTGACATGCAGTCCTTCAGGGAAGCAATAAAGCCATATCCCTGTCACCTAAGTAAACGGGTGAGGGCAAAGGTCTGCTGATATCTGCTGCAGGGGAACAAGGCCAGATATATGAAAGGTGTGTTTGCTGTGCACGGTGGTTTGAACATTTAAACAATCTAAATAACCTCAGGTGCTCAGCAACAAAAGGCTGCTTTTATCCCACGAACTAAGCAAGTGAAGACAGCTCACTGCTAGTCTGCTTTCCACTGAGCGATTATTCTTTTAGGAAATTCCTACACGATAGACTTTTAAAAGGTATTAAAGTAGTTTCAAATAAGATCCATTACTTTTGGTGGGAAATGCACTTTAAAAAAGATGTAGGGTTGTAAAAATGTTTGAGACTCATTTCAGACGAATCGGATTTACAGCCATAAATCAACCAGATCTTTAGAATCATCAGAAGTTAAAGATCAGGAAGCTGTCTCAACAATCTCTTGAATACAAAAACCTTTCAAGGGAAAACAGCATTTTACCTGTCACATGGAGGCGGAAGAGCAGCATATACACAGGCATAAAGAGCCACAGTTGATAAACAGAGAAACAGCGACTTGTGCATTTTGAGTCACAAACCAAAGTGAAACTGCGCGAGCTGCGGTCTGAGAACTTTCTCCAGACAGTGACACCTGGCTGTGAGAGAGCGACAGGACACTGCAGAGCTCCAAGGAAAACACAACCACAAGATACCTTTCAGTGAGCTTTATTTTCAACATAACTTTCAATTGTTTCCAACAATATTGATAACATCCTTTTTAAACTCAAATCCATTTTAAAATGCTTCACTGAAAAGAAAATGTTCCAATTGAATAACGACCAAATTTCCATCAAATAAATGAAAAAAAGATTAACGCAGGCTTTAAATTCTTCACTTAAATTTGGAGATTTTTTGTTTTAAGTAAGGTTAACTCTACTTCTTGAACGTTTCAGTTGAAAGAAAATACAAAAATCCAAATTTAAGGGCAACTTTTTCAAAACGTTTTTAACCTATAACCGTAACTCTGGATCTTAAGATCATATCTCGTTTTTTGTACGGCCCAAAGCCCCTCCCTCCCCAATTTGTTTTACTGATGCATCAGTTTGAAAGCAGTCCTCTCATTTTCGCTAAAATAAGTGATGGGTTGGCCAAAATGTACACAAAAAGTGTGTTTTTTTGTAAATTTGTTGGGAATCTCAAAAGAGGATAAACCTGTGCATCAGGGCAGCAAGAGCTCGAATTTAAACCACCCCACAAATTTAAAACAATTCCTTAAAGAATGAGACAATTTAGTTACAGAAAACTATCAAATTGAGGCGCCCGATCTGGGGCGAGATGCTCTTGTCTCAGTCTTTAAGGTTCTCAGAGTGGCAGCCACTGGCAGTAATGCAGCATCCAATCAAAAAGTAGCAATACACTAAATCTTGAAGGATTACCAAGTTACGCCCTGGAGGCGTTTGCTTTGCCGTTACTGCCGGTGGGCCACAGAGACAGGCAGCTGCCAAACGCCTGTGCAGTTAGATCCCGGTTCTCTCAACGAATGCGTCATTTACATTTGAATATTGTTTTCAAACAGCCCTCCCCCTAACCCCAAACAGCCAAATTAGATGGGTATGTATTTAAGGGACGACAACGCTGAGAGAACAGGGATCAGTCCTAACCAATGAGAAATAAAAAGGGAATTTTAAACTGAACATCGTCACACTGGTACATTTTAAAAGAGCTTAAATTAAATGTGCAATACTACTTCTCATTGATTAGAACAGTTGGAAAGCATCTCACCATAACAAGGGGAACCCAGTTTGCAAACAGGTGTCCAGATGATCTTAATGCAAAGTAGGTTATGCTGCATAAAAACAAACTAACCAAAAGCCCAAATGTCAAAGCAATAGAGAAATAAGCCATAAACTCAGCAGTCTGAGGTGCTCAGGGTTTTCTTTCGTTCCGACTAACAGTAACATGTCATTCTTCTTGCCCATCCCCCTTTGTTCTGCACCAGTTCCCATTTGGGCATGATGGGCTTTAAAAGCGGTGCAGTCAGTGTATTTCCTGAACGTCTCTCTGTGCGCCAAGTGCAGCTCAACCTGCTCCGGTTGTTTAACGAGGCTTCTTTTCTTTTAGAAAGCCAGCTAACTTGCGATGCACAGAGATTACATTTCTGCTACATTTTAGTCAGATAGTTTGTTTTGATGCATTCGGCTAACATTCGTCAACAAGGGGAAATGAATCCACGGCTCCCTGCTCAACATGTGTGAAGCAATGTAGCCGTGCATGAAGAGCACATAGATCAACGTAACAGATAATACCTCCCCAGAAAACTTATTCTGTTCAAATTCAGCTGCCCTGCAGCGAGTAGTACTACTACTACTACATGATAGAATATGATGTTCTCTTCCAATAACAACTCTCTATAACTGCAGATCTTCAGAGTGTGCTTGAGAGTGTTTCACAAGTTAAGGCTGAGGACAAACAAATAATTCATTACTCGAATGCTCAACAAAGCCATCCGTCTAGACCAAACTCTTGTTAATACTGGTAGCAGGAGAAAAAGGGCGACAATTTAAACAATCTCATTTTAAGTGCTTTGAACAATTGCACTCTCCTTCAAATGTTGAGGCGCTACAAAGATTATCAGTGATGAACTCTGCCTCCTGAAACATTCCATGCACAAGGTCATTTCAATGTTTTAGATTCTAATAAATTCTGCACTTTCTAAAATGATAAATAAATTCACAGGCCAACATTGCAGATCAAACAAACCGGCAGTAAAAAGGAAACAGTCTCCAGTGCTAACAAGAGAGAAAGGGGAGGAAAAGAAAAAAGCTCTTCAGTTTGTAGCCAGCCTTTTGAACTCGTTTTAAAACAATCTTAAAATGAAGGTATATACACAAGGAGTAAAGTGCAGCCAACATGTCCGCTGCACGTCTCGTAGAATTAAGTATGGCCATCCATAGGAAGGTGAAACACAGGGCAAAGAAAAAACAAAAACCAAAAGCGTTCCCTACGATTAAACTCCGCCGAAACAGGAATCCTCATGACTCGTGGTGTTGAGAGGCTGCTCATTCATTTTTAGTGTTCTGACGCTGAAGACGGAGGAAAGGCTCTGGGTCTTTTAGAAGCACAAGCTCCTTCCAAGTGACCGGACAAGTCTGGCTGTCTCTTGGGAAACATCCAGCATCTCTGTCCATGGAACATCCAAGTGTGTCCTCATTTATCAGCCAGACTCAAGTGCAGCTAAGCCAGCTAAAAGATAAATCCGACCGGCTTCCCTCCCACATATCTCCATTCCTTGCAAACGTATGACCCAACCAAAAAACAGTTATGATTTCACCTATGTGTAAATTAGTGTAGCCATTTCTCAATTAGGTGACCGTGAGTGTGTGGCATGAAGTGATCAAGATGAAGGATAATGAGGGGTTATTACTTTAGAACGAGTTGAACTGCTTGTTAAGGCACTTGATACAAATTGGTTAAAACTTTCAAAATAAAACGTGGAGAATGGAGGGTGTCGTATAGCGGTCTGTTGGTGCTGGCTTTGTGTCATTGGTGGATATGAATCTTCACGATGTGCATTGATATTTTTTTTTCTCGACTTGGTCCCATGCTTTCCTCCAGGTGCTCGTGTCTTCAGGGTGTGGTGGAGCAGCTCTGAGCCCTATCAAAAAGGCAAATGAGTTCTTCCGAAACGCGTCCATCAAAATACACATTCCTTATGGTGGCATCCAGAAGAGGAACACAGACAGAAACTGTACATAAAAAAACTAAAACAAGAGAACTCCAAGACGGGGGGGGGGGGGGGGGTGAAAAAAAAGATACAAAAGGGGAATGGAGGATGGACTGATCTGAAAAGAAAGAAGAGTGAAAGAAGGTTAGTTACTTTAATATCTAAAACATGTTTAAATGATTCAGCATGCAGGAATGAAAAGATGGCGTTACAGTTATTCGCACAAAAGGGGGGCGTGGGGGAGAGAAACTCCCTCTGGAGGGAACAGGGATTTACAACACTCTACAGGAGAGGGGAAACCCACAAACTTATAATAGGGCCCCTTTTCACTATTATGTCTTGTGATCGTTCTTGACTTTTTTTTAACAGTTTGTGAATGAAGTGAAACCAAAATATGCCATTTCTAGATGAACTTGAACAGACTTCTTGAAAAGGACTATGTGCCTCCTGCAGCTGCTAGAGATGGAGTGACCGGCTGAAGCACACTTCAGCTCAGACGCCTTGTGTAACACGGGGCTTTAACAAAATAAAGTTCAATAAAGTGCAGCCATATCAGAGCACAGTAAGAACTGCTCATGTTCCTGCGTCTTCTCACAGCAGGAAACACCATCAGGGTAATAACCGTAATAATGCTTCATGTATCTTTAGTTGTGCCTTTGAGTTATAGAAATGACCCGGCATGCCCAGTAGCAGAACACCAGCACAGCAAATTGTAATGTGACCCATTTATCAGTCTAATAAGAAGATCTATTTTCTTGGCCGGTGTGTTCAAATGGATGCATTGCATCAATAATACAGAAAACGGGACCAGAAGAGCAGCTGAATGATCCTGGAAGAGTAGCTATGTGTTGTGTGTATTGTGTCTGTACTCACTGGCTCATGGCTTGATTTCTTCGCCACTCTCGCTGTGGTACTCTGCCACGTATAAGCTCTTGTCGATGATGCCGGGGATGGGCTTGATCTCTGTGCCGAGCTGCTCCTCGATCCCCTTCAGGTTGAAGCGGTCATCGTAGGTGATGAGGTTGATGGCCAGACCCAAGTGTCCAAATCGGCCTGGAGATTAAGAATGTGAAGGTTTCAGTCGTTATTCTCAGCTACAGCAATCATGATTTGTACAAGAGGGAAACACAACCCGTATTGGCTCTTACCAGATCTACCGATGCGATGAAGGTACGTTTCTCCCAGCTTGGGAAAGTCGAAATTGATCACAACATTCACAGCTTGAATGTCAATTCCTCTTGTGAAGAGGTCTGGAGGAAACAAAGAAAGCAGGCAAACCTATATGAACACCATCTGAAGCAATATGTTAAGAATGTGCATAACAGCCAGTTCAATGATATTTTAACCCGTATGACTCGGCTGGAATTCAAAACATGACAACAATAATGGTGTTCCGATTAGTACCAAAATAGCAACCGAAAAACGTGGACAAACCTGTGAAGCAAGTCATTTCAAGCCAACATGTCACAACAAAATAATATGTACGAATGTGTCACCACAATAACACAGTTTCCCTTTCGTTTCTTTTCAGTGTCGCTGTAGCAAAACCTCCCATTACCCAGGCTAACGGCACACTCCAAACTGTTCTTCCACAGGCACCTTGGGCTCCGTGTCAGCCTTAGCCGTGTTCATGCTGGAAACTCATCAAACTGGTTCCATTCTTTCATGATCAGGTGGATCATTCCAGAGCTTTTAAATCTGATGCATTGTTCTGCTATGGCTGTATAGGAATTTGGAACAGCAGCAGCTTGTTTTCAGTATGATACATCCTTCTGGTAAACCCTGTGAGCCAAACAGCTGTTCATGTGCACATTCACACATGCAAAACACTCATTCTGGATGACATGTTCTAAAAAGTACGTTTTTGCAAGGGAGGTTGTGCTCAGCTGTAGCTTGCTAGTTGGATTAGCCTGGTGTCTAGCTGTATGCAGATGTTTACCTGAAGTGCATGTCACAGTAAGCAATACAAATGACATTACATTTTAACTAAGCACTTCCCAAACCCTCCAGCCTTTTTTTGTACAAAGATGCTTTAAAGCTGCTTGTTGAAAGTAAACCGCTTCATTATTTGTACAGTTCTACTTGAACATTTGTAGCACATGGCTCTCCCACTTACCAGTGCAGACAAGATTCCGGCAGAGGCCGTTTCTGAAGTCGTGGAACACACGGTTGCGATGCTCCTGGAGAGCAGAAAAGACATGTCCAGTAAGCCTCACATGTGGTGGGTCTGCAGTGCAACACTTTCATGTTTTTGTGGCGTATTAGCGCCACGTTAGCTCTGTTGTGAACGTCTGTAAACCTTTTCTAAAGTACAAGCTGCCAAACTAGGATGTTATGTGAATCCATTCAAATGTAATAAAAGTCAACCTGAAAGAGTAGAAGACAAATAACAAGGCAGCACAGTCGAAACGCTGTGGTTTGTAGTGCATGTTGTTCAGTTACCCAGTTGTGAACAGGACTGTTTCTCAGAGCTAGCAGTGGCAGCAACGCTCCAAAAATAGAACATTCACATCAAGTCGAGGGACATGCATGTCAACACGATGCGCCACTTTATTGCATGCCAAAAGTTAAAGCAGCAGCTGTCCTGGCATGCACCCATCGCCACCTGTGTGTATTTTGGTCTTAAAGCTGGTCGTGCTGGTATTTCTGAGGCAGTGCTTTGAGCTGACCTGTCTCATCTTGGCATGAATGTAGAAACATGAATAACCGAGCTGGGAGATCTTCTTGGCAAGGAGCTCTACTCGCTGAGAGGAGTTGCAGAAGATTATAGACTGGTTGATCTGGAGCTGCACATTCAAAGAAACAACAGCGGTGAATCCAGGTGTAGTCAATGTTGAAATCAATATGTGTATGAAATGAAAATCAAAAACATGTCCAAATGATGCGTTATTTATGACCGGACAGTTTTTATTACAAGCCTGCAGTCAAGATGGCCTTTAACATCTGTTTTAATAACAGCTTGAGTTTATACAAAGAAAAAGGACACTTACCCTGGAGAACAAGGTGTTAAGGCAATGGACCTTTTGCCTTTCAGTTACATAAGCATAATACTGAGTCACACCCTTCAGTGTAAGCTCCTCCATCAGGTTGATCTCATAGGGTTTCTGCAAGTGTGCGTTCTACAAAGCAGGGGGAGACAGGAGCCGTTATAATCAGGTTGTGCCGCAGATTATGAAGGCTGATTTGCGCTGAGCAATAAGAAATGATAAAGACAAGTTCTCGGATCAAACCGGAGAAATATGTACCATAAACTTCTGCACGCTGAGAGGAAAGGTAGCAGAGTAAAGCAGGATCTGCCTCCGTTTGGCCAGGAAGCCCAGCATCTCCTCCATCATGGACACAAAGTCCTGAGACAGGAGTTTGTCAGCCTGTAGAGCAGAGGAGCATGGGAGATGGAGAAGGGCACGTTGATATCAGTCTATCGGTGCAGAATGCACCGGAAAGTCACCGGTAAATGTAGAACAATAAAAGAACCATAAATAAACACTTCAACTCACTTCATCCAGAACGACCATGTGCACTTGATTGACTTTGGCCACTCCTTTCTTGATGAGGTCCAAAATCCTCCCAGGAGTAGCAATGACCACATGTACTGTAAAATAAATAGAACATTTGGAAAACAAATTAAATAAATATAGCAGACACACGGGGCTTAAACTAAAGACAGACAGAGATGAGTTGGCTCAGGATTTTAAATAAGTATAGCTAAAAAACTAATTGATACGTCATGTTAATCGCACTGGCAATATTCAGCCGTGATGCAGTTTAGAAAGCTGTATCTAATTCTGAGGAATATCTACAAATATTTGGCAATATTCACTCTTGATTGGCTGCAAAAGTTCAATCGTCTTCCAATCAAACATCAACAATATAAAAAAACCACACCACAGTGAAACACGTCCTGACAACAGGGTTTATCTGCATCTGTTTATGTGGCGAGTAAGTACAAAGATGATTGCCTTTAGAGAAACTCAGATTGAAAACATCCAACCAAAGAGGATCGGGACTCTTTACTATCTGCGGGAGATACTGACAGAATCAGATCAGACTTTCCAGACTCAAGACTAAATACTTGAACAGGACTGGCATGCAACAACTTGAACTCAAAATATAAATCCACCTAAAGATATGCCCAATTTGATGTTGCCATTTTTATTTTCAACAGAACAGATTGGGGTTTCGATGTGCTTGTATTTAAATAGTATGTAACAAAACTTATTTGAGATATTAACACAGTAATTGGCATGAACCCAAACAAAGCAACAACATATGTAAACATCAATTGTGCTTACCCGTTTCATCAAGTCTCATGATGTCGTCGCGGAGGTTGGTTCCACCTGTGGTCGCCATTACCTTCACTCCACCCATGTGTTTGCTGACCTGGATACTTATTTGGCTAACTTGCAGAGCCAGTTCTCTGGTGGGTACTATGACCATAGCTGGAATAAAAGCAGAAAACAATCTTGTGAGAAAAGCACTCACACATATTTTAATCATGAAAAAAGCTTTAAAACCATTGAGCTTCACAAAAACCTTGATTATAGTCTTTATTAAAGTTTGACAGAGGTTGATCATTTAATTATTATTTTTGAATATAATCATACAACTAGGTCAGACACTTTTCTTAATTATTGATACATCTTGAACAAATTCAATTTACTCATCAATCAAGTCAGAGAAGACTATTAAATATTCCCAATTGATAGAATAGAACTTCAGATTTTTGCTTGAACAATTAAGAAAGACTTCGGCGAGAATCAAGAGTTTACTTTTTGACTTTAACTGTGGCAGAACATGAGCTGTGTCACCTTGTATGCAGTCCCTCTTCAGGTCAATGCGTTCAAGTAAGGGAATGAGGTAGGCTCCACTCTTCCCTGTGCCGTTCTTGGCTCTGGCCAAGATATCTCTTCCTGACAGTGCGATGGGAATGCTTTCCTCCTGAACAACAAGCAGAAATGACAGATTCATACACAGTTCTACATGTGTTGGTTGGTACAGTCATTGCATTGCCTGTTCTAACTAAATATATTCAATTCAAACTGGATGGAAAGTAAAATAGTAACAGTACTGAGTAACATACTCGTTTAATATTTAGGAGAGTGCATTTACGTAGTCCCGTTCTGCCTCTCTTCTCATACCCTTGTTTCTCTGAGAAGAGAAGAAATTATATTCTAAAAGGAGCTGACACATGGCGTCTCTTCACTTGTACACTTGAGGGGTCAGAGTTTATATGGTGAGGGATTCCATGAGCGATATGCGCCAGCCTGTGCCTTTACCTTGGACTTCTAATAGAACTGCTCGGGTCTTGATAGATTGAGTGGGGAAGTTCATGAGATCTTTCTAGAGAATAACTTTTATCCAATGACCTTTTCCCTCTCTGTCTGTGTCTGTGTATTCTCTTGTTCCGATTAACCCAGCCAAATCTTTTATCGTTTTGTATCTATATCTACGCCGGGATCCGGAGTCGAGTCTGATCCTCTTGCTGTAGTCCTGTGTCTTGGATCCTCTATCCTGAGTTCTGGATAAAGTCGTGGACGTTTTGGTCGTGGCTGAACCTGTCTCTGCGGTCTATTGCACGTCTGTCCGTCCTGGGAGAGGGATCCCTCCTCTGTTGCTCTCCCTGAGGTTTCTCCCATTTTTTCCCCTTAAACTGTGGGTTTTCTCTGGAAGTGTTTCCTTGTACGATGTGAGGGTCTAAGGATAGAGGGTCTAAGGACAGAGGGTGTCGTTTTTTCTCATACTGATATTCTGAACAATCTGTGCTGTTGTATTAGCTGTAAAGTGTCTCTACTGTAGGCTATTTTTATTATATGTACAGCACTTTGGCTCGACCAAAAATCGTTTATAAATGTGCTATATAAATAAAACTTGATTTGATTTGATAACAGTACAGTACACCCTGGCCGGGGTGTAACAGTACACGTACCGAAATGATTCGGTACGGGCCCTTCGGTTCGGTACACGTGTGTACCGAAGTGTACCGAAGTTTACCGAACGAATATAACGTTAAAAATTGAGAACGTGAACAACTTCTTGGAAGTAATCTCAGGTGCTGCGTCGCAGCATTCAGAGTAATTTGCTCACATTGGGTTCAACGCGTCATAGAGCGAGCAAGTCATTTCATTGGACGAGAGGCATACTATGAGAGCTGGTCAGAGGGATGCGTTCAAATTTAGTCAGTAATTTGAGGAACTGTCGAAATGGCGAACGCAGATAAAGTTGAGCTCGAAAATCCTCCAGCATCATTGAAGTCTCCGGTTTGGGAACATTTTGGTTTCGCAGTTACGTTCAAGGATGACGGACAAAGACAGGTGGACCGAACCAAAGCTGTTTGTCGGCATTGTTCAACTAACATTGGTTACGCGGCTGGTTTGAGTGTGCAAGTTTGAGAACATCAAGCTTGCACACTTATTTGAAAAGGCATAGAAAAAAGACTGAAGTGCAAACCCAACTCCCGCTAGCATGTAAGCCTCCACCACTCGCAGAGAGTTCAGACTGAGCCAAAGCTATTACAAACGCCAAATATCCTTATGTTGCCATGTTAGCAAAGCGCTACCTGGCTGTATCTGCTACCTCTGTCCCTAGAGAGGGTGTTCTCCACATCAGGAGACATTGTTAGTGCCAGCAGATCTGCCCTTTCTGCAAGCAATGTGGACAAGTTCATCTTTCTTTAAAAAAACATGAAAATTCAATGACAAGCAAGTCATAATGTCAAGCTGGCTGCTTAGGTACTAGTACAGTACAGTTCAAATACAGATTATTTCAGTTCATCGAAATGCTGCACCTTAATGTTTATTTTGTATTTGAGTGAATACATTATTCACAGTTTAATAATAATAATAAAAACCCAAAAAATATTTTATGTTTTGTGATAATTTGTTCTGCTGTACCGAAAACGTACCGAACCGTGACCTAAAAACCAAACGTTTATGAACCGTTACACCCCTAGTACTGAGGTATTGGTCTATTAATACCCCATGCAGGCTGCTCAGCAACACAAGTTAAACCCTCTTAGTGGGTCTATCTGAATAGGTCAGACGAGGAGAACTCGGGGGATCAAACTCATTAGAATAAATGGTTTGGGAACCATGAAAATACAAAATGTAATGTCATTTCAGCCATCACGATTTTAGTCTGGACCTAAGCAGTGGACTGAGAATTAATGCCATGCCAAGCGTTTGCCTAAAAAAAGGCTTAACTCTTTGAATAAAGGCTTACTTTCTTATGTGCTGCTTCACCAGAGCCTGACTAAGCACCAAACCAAATTCTAAACCCACAGTATCCAGATTTTAAACAAATCCCCACCATTAGGATTACATTTGAAATTGAGACGCAGGAGTTATATCACATAAAAAAAAACTAAAAAGTGATTTACTGATAGACAATAATAAATAAAAGTATTTTGTATCCCTAATTAAGCAAAGGTATCAAAGAGAATATTTTGTCAATATACTAAAATGACTAAGATTTTAATGTGACAAAGCTTATAATAAAAAAGGCACGCCCTCCTTTAAAACACAAACGCACCTTCTTGATTACATCTGAGTCTTGTCTCAATGTACCTGGATTGGAGAGGGCTTTTCCCAGCCCATCTCAAAGATCCCCATTAGCAGCTCCCTCTTTAGGCAGTAATCTTCAAACTCGTTGCCTTTCGTTGCAGTCACATCCTGCCATCATAAAAACAAGCAATAATTAGCATTTGGTTGAAAAGATTTAAACAGAAAGTTACTAAACTAATCAATTATGACCAGCTGATAATGAAAGGAGGTTTTTACTTCCCTAAATAAGTGCACTAAAGTGTTAACCAATTACAGAAATTCCCAATAGAAAATGGCTCTTCAAATACAAATCTATCATGGAAGCACTTGTAAACAAAGAATGTATAGAAACAAACATTGTGAAATAGTTTGTTTTCTTAAATGTAACCAAGTGAAGCATGTTGTGAAGAAAAAAGAAAAAGAAAACACCACTTTCAGATCATAAAGCCCAGACAGGTGGATTCAAGTGAAACACTAAACACGTCAAACACCAACGCGAAAACGGCAACAACTTTAATAAGAGGAAGGCTTTAAGAATGAAAGTATGTTCAAATAAAAAAAGGACACAATATAAATATAAAGGCCCCCCAGATCTTAGTGGATAATGTCCGTTAAAGGTGGGGTAGGTAAGTTTGAGAAACCGGCTCCAGATACACTTTTTGTTATATTCCATGGAATGCTCTTAACATCCCGATAGCAAATAATATCTGAAGTGCTTTGACAAAAAATCCATAAAAAAAATGGAATCTGTGGAAGCCGTAATACTGTAAAAAGTACAACCAATCCGTTTAGCCGGCCCGGCTAAACGGATTGGATTGCCGCCCTGTCTGTCAGCCTTCCATCTCGTGCACGCACAAATGTATCTCGTGCCCTCATTGGACGTGCATTGCAGCAGTACTTCAATGACTCGCCAGCAACAGGCGGCCACTTTCACCAGTCTGCGGACGTCATGTGCGTGTTCATATGTGTTGGAGGAGGTGCTCTGTAAGGAAGTCTGAAGGAAGGGGCGGATTCTTTTCGGCTGTGTACTTTCAAATTTTAGTGCACTCGAGCCGGTTTCTGAAACTTACCTACCCCACCTTTAAGGTATTACAGCGTATTTATGGTTAACAGAAAGTCAATACATGTATTGCTTATTTTTTTCATGTGAAATGTTGTATCATTCGCACCAAAGTAATGGTATGTAAATAACATTCTTATTAAATTAACATAGCCAAGTTTAGCAGGGTTTTCTAGCATGGCTGGCAAAAAAACAAACAATTGCTGACATTTGAATGAAAAATGTATAAATGAGACCTAACTAGAAACATGTCAAAAGCAAAACAGAAGAACTATGTTGTACAAACCGATGTTCTCATCCTCGTGTCTTTTGGGGGCAATTTCAAATTTTTCTTCCAGTCATCTCCAAGCCTATGAAAGATAAAGTTAATTTTAGCATGCAACATAAGATTTGACAGCAATACCTTTGATAACATGCCATATATATATTTCATCACTCACTTGGTTGTAGGGGCTGGTAGGGAATTGCCATTGTTGATTGTGCCTTTCATCTGATTGAGCTGCTGTTGAGGGCCTCCCACACCTCCACCTGGCGCTCCAGCAGTCTTCACTGAACCTCGGAGCTGTCCATTCTGGTTGGACAAGCCCAAAATCATTGGGTTCTCTGTCCTGGCGGTACTCATGTTTGCTATGCTTTCTTCTTCCAGTAGCAATGAGGTATCTATCAGTCTCTAGATGCAGCGAGTCCGCTCTGCTGGGACCACTCAATACTTAAGATTGTCCTTCCCTCTCAAGACTTCAATAATTATCCAAATGTAAATTGTTCAAATCGTGTTTGTCTCAGCAGGTTCCTCAACAGTACAGCACTACTCAAGTGTAAAAAATAACAAATTCCTCTTCTTATTTTTTTTAATTAGGATTTAGCATAGATGGAATTATCTGCCATTGCCATATGGAAAACCATACACCAGAAGGGCTGATCTAGCTTTCAAGTACTGGCAGACTCTTCAGCTAGCCATCTTGTTTAGCTTCACAGAGCCGCTGCGTCCTTTATCAGGTTTCTCCAACCCTGAAACATACGGGACAGAGAGTGTTAGAAACATCTTATCCGACAAAACAATTCCATGATGATAAGCGGCAAATTACAATATGCTGTATTTGGAGGGTATGGAGACATATCAAATCTTTATTCAGCTGAATAACTGGCCGGCCTACATGTCAAAAGTTGACCGACACAGCGGTGATTCGTAATGTTATTTAGTTAACCTTTGCTTGCTTATATGAAAACAACATTGCATTTCGAGGTCAATCCCAACATTAGGTTAACTGTAAAGTAACCCCAACGCTGTCACCTGAAAGTCTTAAGAGGATACATATCTGAACACCGACGAGGAGCAGTTTGTCTGTTAAATACAACCAACTAGATGCTAACGTTAGCCTTCTGCTAGCCGTGGACTTCTGGCTAACTAGCAAACGAAGCAGTAGCTTTGTGCTAATGTTTTGCTAGTTCGGTTAACGACGTTACAATACTGGATTCAGAGTATTGTATGTAACGGTCAGATTATTATAACACCACTCGAAATAACACTTGACACTCTTTCCAAAGAGTACTATTTGACTAAATGAGATGCCCACCATTTACTAATCTCAGTCAGGTAGTTAGCTCAGCCGACTCGTTTTCCGTGCTAGGTCGGCTAGCACGCTAACAAACTGGTGAAACAACATTTACAGTAAACGCCAAATGTACAAGTCACCAAAACATAATGAGAAATAGGATAAAGAACCATGCAAAGTTAGAAATAGTTTAGACGTACATGCAGTTACCTTGGTTAGCTGAAATTACCGGTTCTCTATGCGGTGTTTGTAAGGTGTTCTCAATTTTTTAGCTGACTACGAAATAGGCTTGTCAACTAACTGTCCAAGATGGCTTCCACTCGCTTTTGAACCCGCCCCCATCCACCTAATCAGCTGATTTCATTTATAATCAAGGATTTACCTATGGGGTGAGCTTCCATGATGATACTTTCAGACTAATTTATATTACTAATGTACAAACACTCCACTGCATCCATCGAGCCAGAGCTTTTCTTGGTATTGTGTGCATCCATGTTCTTTTTCCTTCAAATTAATGTCAGCTACATCTTCTGTGTCATGGTTGATGCCACTTTCTAAGAAAAAATCACTCAAAATGTAAAATTGTAATAATTGTTAACATTACCCAATCTTACTCTGATAACTTGCTTGGAGAGGGATTATGCCAAATACTTTCACTAACATTATAGTGTCAAATGCACTTCCACATTACCAAAGCTTTATTGTGCATAATGTACTCTATTTCATTTTTCAAGCTTAATAGGAGATTACATGTCAGGAGAAAAGGGCAAAATAATTGTGTGGCAACCCCACCTCAACCCAAGATGGGATGATGTTTGTACATGTAATTGACCATATTATTTTCATTTATATTGTTTATAGATAAATAACTTGCCGGTATTTTTTTTACAGCCTGGCCTATATTCCACATCATACCATACTAGTTTAAATAGGCCTCAATAAACATATTAACAACATTATTTTTTTCGACCAGGTAATTAGTTTTACATTCAAAAATGTCAATGTCAATAATTAGTTTATTTAGTGATTCACTTAATTACTAGTTGGTTTAGTTTTATAGTGGTTCTGCTGCTCTCAAAAAGTGGCAAGCTGTATTGAATTATGAATGGGACACATAAGAAACTGAGATCAGTATGGGACATTTACTCCATGTTCAGCACTTTAAAGCAATGTTTATTTAACTAGGGCTAACGGACTTCTCAAGAATGCCATGTTTACATTCACATACAGTACAGACTTATAATCTGACGTGTACACCCGGTCTGATCTACAGGCCATGGAGCAGTCGGGGGTTGAGGGCCTCCCTACAGGGTTCCAAAGTGGCTTTCTCCATCTGAATGTATAGCTACAGTAGTAAATAACACTTTCTGCTTTCAATCTAATCACTAATCTAATTATGGATAAATTGAGGCTATTATTTGAGATATAAGTAAAAAAAACATTTAACAACATTGATATCAAGGGCAAAGCTGAATGATGCATGTCTTCTCACACTTACTGCTAGGTTGGCTGGATGTTTATATATACACCATATGTGTTATAAGGTTATAGCCCAACATATGCAAATAAATCTGGTTCTGTATGATTGCCTCTTGTTGCTTGTTGAAAGCTAGGATATAGTGTAGGGTGTGGTTACTTGACATGCATTACTGCTCTTTCATGCTTACTATAGGAAGCCTCATATTTAAAGCGTGACTATTTTCAATCTTTGTTTTTTAACAATCCCACACCCAGCACTAAAAGACATAAAAGCTCATTTAACTACGACAGTGTACGAAATACATTAAGGTGACCAAAACTGACCAACATGGATGTAACAAACACCTTTGCTGTTTATGAGGTAAGAAATGATTTCACATTTTTAAAGTGAATGGTAATTGATATCAAAATGTAAAGTATCTTATCCGCATCGAAGGTCACAATCTTAAATCTAATATAAGATATTAAAATAAAGCATGTGTGTATAATTTCTATGCACTTAAAATAATGGGTGTCATCGTAAGCAACAGTCCATGTCTTAGCTAAATGCAATGTAATGTAATTATGTGATTTAGTCTATTGTTAAATGTCCTTTTAACTACAAATGGACAACTTTCAGTATCCAGAATAACCTTTAATTGTCTGCTGCAGCATCTGACATTTAAAACACTATATTTAAACAACAAACATGTAGCTGCTTGATAAGTTCTACATGTATTTTGAATTGTCTTAACTTTGAGAAGCATATTTTATACGCTACAGTGGCATGAATTACTGAACATTAGAACTGCACCTGAACAGGCGGGTCCGTTACTTTATGTGCATACTCCTTCTTTCCTGTTGATTCACTGCTCGAATAGACAAGGAAGAAATTCACTGTAATACATCATTTGGTATGTGTTTAACATAAAGGAGAGTGCCGGTGTACTTTTAAAAATGTTATGTTTTTTTTATAAAAGCACTCATGTAGGAGGAAAAAATGTTATGGTTAATCACACTAATGCAATTAAAAATAGAGATTATTTATGTTTTCAAATCAAAACCTGTGTGGTGATCCAAATGGCTTGTTATTTGAGTCAAATGTATAAGTCTAATTATTGTAGATTAAATTACATTATAACATTTTGGTAAAACATGTTATATAAGAGCAAACTGTAGTCACTGTGTATTTTAGGCTCAGTAATAACATTGACAGTCATGGCAGCACTGATTCCATTTAAAATTGTATAATTTTGAAATGTAATGTTTTGTTTCTTCTTTTATGAGAAGGAAAACAAATGTATAAGTAAAGAATTATTCCCCTTTTTCTTTAATTCTGAAGTTACAGTAGCACAAAGAACATCCTGCTACTTAATTTCCTGCTATTACATTGAAATACTATTACATTCAAGGTGATGTGTTCAGAGTTGTATGTCAAACTTTGAATGTGTTCGTACAATATCACATTTTATCCATATTTTTCAGAATTCAGAAATTTGAATATAATTGAATATGTTTTTGCTTTTATTTAATTTTATTAGCTGGGATTTGTTTACCAGATATATAACCCACATGGTTGTTACTTAAAGGGAACAAGTTATTGCATTTAATTTGTTAGTATACGTCCCAAATAATATGTCTTATGTCTTAAACATTGCATTACAATGAAGAGGAAGTGAAAAAACCTGGCCTATACTGTGTTTCCTGCCTAATCATTTGACTTAAAAACACGGAATGAAGAAAACCCAAATTAGCGCTATTAAAGCTTATGTAACGGTTCATTCACCCCAACCCAAATGAACGCAGTTACGTTATTCCACAGCACACAAGGTGATTCTCCACCTGTGAAGTTATTATTAAAATAGCATTTCCTCTTTGTATTTGACAGCTGGGAGACAATAAATATTCTGAAAATGACACAGACTACGTTTACGACAACACGCCCATGGTCTGTGATGATGATGATGGGATCGGCCTGCGGGTGTTTCATGCCGTTTTCCAACCCGTGCTGTACAGCCTGATCTTCCTGCTGGGTGTAGCAGGAAATGGCCTGATGATAACCATCCTCCTGCGACGTTGGCGCCGCCTGCGCATCACAGAGATCTACCTGCTGCACCTGGCCCTGTCTGACCTCATGCTCCTTCTCACAATCCCCTTTGTTATAGTTGAGAATGCTGCTGGCTGGCTGTTTGGGGAGTTTCTCTGCAGGCTGATGGGTCTGGTGCAACACCTAAACCTCTACTGTGGGAGTTTCCTTCTGGCTTGCATTGGCTTTGATCGCTATTTGGCCATTGTTCATGCTATTTCCAGCATGCAAAGTCGACGTCCGAGAACAGTGCACCTGACATGCTTTTCATTGTGGCTGCTCTGTTTGGGGTTATCGATACCCAATGCTGCTTTTCTTTCTGTGGGGGGAAACAACACAAACACACTCTCTTGTTCCCATCATCTTCACCTTATCCATGCCAACAACTGGGTTTTGACTAAAAGAGTGTTAGATCATGTTTGCTTTTTCCTTCCTCTCGCTGTCATGAGCTATTGTTACACAGCAGTGGCAGTTACTTTGTGCAACAGTCAGAAAAGCAACGCAAAGCAAAGAGCAATTCGACTGGCTTTACTCGTCACGCTCGTCTTTTTCTTCTGTTGGCTACCATACAATATCACCTTGCTGATCACAACTTTGGGCGACCTGGAGGTTATCAAGTATGAAAACTGTACTTCTTATGACCTAGTTCAGCCGGTGCTTGATGTGACAAAAAGCATCGGCCTCTTACACTGTTGCCTGAACCCGTTCTTGTATGCCTTTGTTGGGGTGCGGTTTCGCAATGAGCTGATAAAGTTACTGTGTCAGATGGGCTGCAGCTGGGTTTGTCTTCCTTTCATGAGAGCTCAGGGTCACAGCCGACCATCCATTTCTGATGGAGGATTAACTAGCAGCAACATCCTCATCTAATCAACTCTGTGTCAGCTGTTACTAAAACAACTTCTGTTCTGCAGAATTTCATTTGTCATTATGTAAAATATCATCACATGTTCTGACAATATAGTACCCACTTTGTTTGTAATAAAAATGTTTTTTTTTTACTCTGTAAAAAAAAAAGAAGAAGGTTATTGTTGTCCGGAATCGGTTTTAACTTTTACTACTGATATTTCCATTGAATAAAAATGTCATATATTATAAATAAACCTTGTCCTGTTGTCAAATGTATAAAGCATTAATAATTGACACAATAACAGAAACTAAAACCACCATATAGATCAGTATTATTCTATTTTTAGACTTCTATTAAAACACTGTTATACAGAACAACTGCAAACAATCACAAATTGCATCTTATATACAGCAAGTATATATATATTATATATATTTATATGTATATACATGTATACACTGTATATCTATACCGTATATACTGTATATGCATACACATATATAGTTCCTTTGCACAACAGTTTGGTAGTTGGAGAAAATAAATCAATGGTATTAAAACAAATAGAAATTTGAGGCACTCCTCTCCTGAAAGCCACTCTGTTCCAACAACAAATACACACATCTTTGAAATATACATATTTTACAGTATTTTAGAAAATGGCTTCAGATTTGTCGTTGAATCGTGTTACAGTGATTTTAAATATTTCATTTAATTTGTAATCCAAAATGATTTAACGTTTTTACAGATCCTCTTTTTGAAATAACTGCAAGAATAACATTAATGAAAATAATTCGACACAATGGGAAGGTGACCTAGTTGACGGCTGTTGTTTTTTTTGTTTTTTTTGTTGATTTTGATACAGTTTATTTGAACTGGATCAGAATGGCATATTGGCCATACCTCCAGGGCCATAGCCAAGGGGACCGTCCAGAGACATTCCCCGCTGTCTGAGAGACTGGGGGCCCATCATACCAGCCTGTGGGTGGTTTGGGGCCATCATGGGACCCTGAGGGGACATAAGAGGACCCTGGGGGCCAAAGGGATCCCCTGGAAGTGACATGCCGCGCTGCTTAGCCTGCATCATCATAATGTTTTGCTGTGCCATCAGATTGTGTGAGTGCTGCTGGGACGACATCATGCCAGGGTAAGGGTTGGATGGATGGTGGAGAAGGCTGTTCGCCATCATGGCTTGCTGATGCTGGAGATGCTGCTGGGGCCCGATGCCTGTCCTTCCCATCATATGTCCAGGAGGGCACATGGGGCCCATGCCACCCGCAGGAACCATCCCTCTAGATCCACCATGAGGAATACCCATGTTATGGCGTATTCCACCATGTGAGGGGTGAGGCGCCAGCTGCTGTTCGGCCATCATATTTTGCAGGTTGGCTAAATGGGGGTTGGATGAATGACCACCGCCATGTGGAGGGCCAGAAGACAGCTGTTTTAGGAGCTGCTGTGAAGTAGCTTGTGGCCCCTGATGTGGATTCTGATGTGGCTCGCTCTTAGGGAAATACTGAAGAGTGCTACTGGGCTTATCAGAAGGAATTATGCGGGAGAGATCAAACTCAGGGATACCCGTGTGACTGGTTCGCATAACATCACTTAGGTCAGCGCCGTCCCCCATGGGCAAAGAGGCGAATGAGTCAGAGGGATGTGAGGGCCGCTGGTGAGGATGACCTTTTCTAAGCAGGTGTAACTGCTGAGGTGACAGAATATCCTCATTAGACTGATGGAAATGATGTGACATTCCTCCGATGGGTGAGTGCATGGGCCCATGAGGTGGTTGGTGGATGCGAGAGAAACCGGCCATCTGGTTCTGAGATAAAGGTGAAACATTGCAGGGCCCCATTCCGTCAGGGGCCCCTCCTCCCATCATGGCCGAATTCATGGCAGGCATGCCCATTGGATTTGGTGAAGAAAGCATAGGTCCGGTGGCGTCATGGGACAGGTGTTGCTGACCTTGGCTTACAATACCCATGGGGCTTTGTGGATCACTGTGGGAGCCAATGGAGCACTGGGAGACAAGCATCTGGGAGGCCTGGCTGTTCCCCATGTTTCCTGGTGATAAAACAAGGCAAGAAATAAAATAAATAATAATATTTAGCAATACGCTGACATTATTTCAACCCATCATACTTAAAGGTGGGGTAGGTAATTTTGGAGAAACCAGCTGGAGTGCGCTAGAATTAGAAAATACACAACCGGAAAAAATCTGCCACTTCCTTCCTTCCAACACACACGAACGCGCACATGACCAATGAGGGCACGAGATAAGTTTGTGCACAGATGGAAGGCTGACAGGCAGGTAGGCCATCCAGTTATTTTAGCCGGGCCGGCTAAAATGATTGGTCGTGCTTTTTACAGTACTACGGCTTCCACAGATGACATTTTTTTATGGACTTTTTGTCAAAGCATTTAAGATATTCATTGCTATCGGGATGTTAAGAGCATTCCATGGAATATAACAAAAAGTGTATCTCGAGCCGGTTTCTCAAACTTACCTACCCCACCTTTAATATAATTAATATACAATTTATGAAATATGAATACGAAGTCTATTCATATTATAAAGTAGCTGTACCATCAAATGATCGTTTTGCAAGCAGATTTTTAAATAGAAAACCAACATCGATCTCAGAATTAACACAGTTATGTCTGAGTCTTTCATTGTTTCTTACCTCCAATGCTGACACCAGATAGAAGAGGTCGATCTGGAAGCATCTCATCATCGGAAGTGGAAATTGTTTTGATTGCATCGTGGTAAAGAGGAGTAGAACTGGGCATGGCATACTTGGACATCTGAGACATGATAAGAGATAAAGGATTCTGAGTTGGGGGGTTATCGGGAGAGGAAGTAAATGGTATGCTAGGATTCATAGAGCCTGGCTGGCTAATGGGTGTCGAGTTGGAACTCCTGGGGGGAAGTGATTGACCTGCAAGGAACATACAAAATAACTGATTAATGTCATAGTAATGCGAGAAACAGCATTAATGATGATTCCGTGTCATGCTGGATTTTAAATGTATACCTGTCTCAGTGGAACTACTTCCTCCATTGCCCACTACCTTCCCACTGGTTGGACCACCTGGACTTGGAAGAGCCGTTTTAGGGGAAGCCCACCCTGGAGAGCCCGCAGCCATAGCAGGGGATTTGAGATGTCCAGGAGAGGCAGATGGAGAGTGCAATCCAAGGTTGGAAGACCCCATTATCTGGGGAGACTTCATGGAAGAAGAGGAAGGAGTCCCAGCGCCAGAGGCAGGGGGAAGATTTGGATGATGCCCCACAGAGGAGATCTGCGAGGGGGACTTCAGTCCTGGAGCGGAGGGGGAGGGTAGGAGAGGAGATGGCTCTTGGTGGAGAGATGGAGACTTGAGCTGATGAGGACGAGGCACTGAAGGAGAGGTCAGGGGGTTAACATTGATTGATAGGTCAGAAGGGTGCCTAGGACCGAGGTCTACCCCCCTGAGGCCTCCACTCATGGGCATATGACTTAGCCGCGATGTACCTCCCATTTGATTATGACCTTGCGGGTCAGGCCCAAACATCTCATGGCCAGGTTGTTGAAGATAAGGCCCATCCCCATGACCTCCGGAGAAGGGACTGTGATTCGGAAACTGAAAGTGGCCGTCAGGTCCTGGAATCATTCCCTTATTTCCCCCTCTTCCGTTCTGTGAAGCCCTGATTCGTGAAAGCTCTCCGGGGATGAACATCTCACTTAAAGGCCCCCGACCTGCAGGACCCCCTCTGAGCTTCTGAGAGAGCATCATCTGCTGTTGCTGCTGAACATTCATCTGTTGGTTCATGTTCATTGGGTGGTTGCCCCCCAGAGGAGAATCCACAAGGTCTCTCATCTGCGGACCCCCTCCAGGAGAGACCATAATCTCCCGTGATCCAGGAAAGTCCATGGGATCACCTCGAGATGAGGGGGGACCCCGGCCCATTCCCAAATTGTGAAATTCTGGGCCCCCAGGATTATCCATTAATCTTTGGGCCAGGGTGCCCTGTTGCTGCTGTTTGATTAATCTTTCAAGTTCAAACCTGGGAAGCCCCTGCATCTGACGTTTCTCCATCAGGCGAAACATTTCCTCGTGCGTTAACAGATGTTCTGTGTCACCTTGCAAGTGTTGAGGAGGCCCCCCAGGGTAGCAGCCCTGAAATGGACCTCCTCCACCACCTATGTTGTTGGGCATATCTTCGAGCCAAATCATCCCTGGCCTAGTGGGCCTTTGAGGTCCTAGACCTTCTACTGACAAAACTCCCCCTTTACTACCAGGAAAACCACCTCCCCCAGGGGGCCCTCTCTGCATCTGTCCCAGGAACCTTGGACCACGGGGTCCTTCTTGGTGCATGTCTATCATTCGTGCATTTCCTCCTCCCATCATGTTGCCAGGACCCCACTGCTGGTCTCCAGGCTTGCTGTGGTAGGGAGGAGGGGGTCCTCTCATCATCACGGGACCTCCATGCATGCCGATCTCATTCACCATTCTAAAGTGCTGTGGATGTGTAGGGGGTTGTACTTCCTGTTGACGTCTCTTCTCATGGTAGTATTCTTCTTGAAGTTTCCTCCACGCTATTTGCTCTGGGGTCAGCCCATCTGGTCCGAGTAAGGGACCCATGTCGAGCCCAGGTGAAGACAGCTGGTGATGGGGGTGTTGCTGTAGGTTGTGATGAGAGTCCATTTGAGGGCTGTCAAGGATTGGTCCAGCAAGGGTCTGTGTTTGGGAAATGATGGACTGGAGGGGTTCTTCATATTTCTTCATCCCTCCCATCGGACCCAAAGCTGATGCTAGCATATTACCACTACTGCAGTTTCCAGAACTATTAGTACCACTGTCACGGCCGTCGAGAATACCACTCCTATCAGTATTGTTGTTATTATTTAGGTTGGAAGAGTTATTACCAGTATTGTTGTTGGGGCCTCCTGGGCCTCCTGGGCCTCCTGGGTCTCCGGGGCATCCACTTGCCCCACTGCGCAGAAGCAGCCTCTCTATGTCTCTCAGCGTCTGCAAAGAGCGCTCCCTGTGTTCCAGCTGTTCTTTTGAAAGACCATCCATGTTCACTGGGCCAATCCTCTGGCCTATATCTCCCAGTAGGTGTGCAGAAAGGATGGAGGGACTTCCGGAGGGGGAAACAGTAGCAAGTGGAAGAGACATACCCCCTGCACCCTCCCCATTGCCGGTTCCTGGGACTGGGCCTGAGGGTGTGGCTGTGACCCCGCCCTCTGACCTTTGGACAACAATGCTGTTATTGCCTGAGCCTTCGCCAGGTCTGGTTTGAGAAGATTCATTGTCGGAGTGACCTGCTGATGTCGGTGTCCCTGCAGGATGCATTGGGCCTCCAATCCCTGCGGAGGCTGGCCGTGGAGTTCCACCTTGGGATTTAGGGGTGCCTGTGGGTGGAGAGCTGCTGGAGTGCACCTTCTCAGATAGGTTAGGAAGCGTCCCTGATGGGTGGCCCTGAGGCAAACAAGGGCAAAAAGAAATAATTACATAATTGCTATGTCTAAAACAGAAGTAATTACAGTTTATAGTACATTATCTAATTGTTAACATGCTTAAACAACACATAGTGAACTTCACTTTCTTAGTACAAGAAGTCACAAGCACTGCTAATAGAAACAGGAACAAAGAGGTATCGGAGACTAAAATAGTCTAACATATTAACTTCCCCACATGCTTTGCATCTGTGGTCTTGAAAAACACTTTTTCTCCCCCATGGTTTAACACAAACATAACATTGTTTCTAATTTGCTACTGACCTGCTCCAACTTGGTGCGTGAAACATTTTGCTGGTGAAACAGAAGGATGGAATCGCTCTGTCCTTTGAATACTGCCTCTGCAGCACTGCAAACACATACAGCAATATTACAAATTAATTTAGCAGATATATATTTTAAAAAATCCATACATGCAGCTTATGATTTGAAATCACCTGCATGTGAGGCCTGCAAATAGTTCTCACCTGTTGGCTAGGTTTGTTGTGAAAACATACACCACTTGCTGCGAAGGTTGAGGCTGCTCTGTCTTCAGCCCGGGTCCCACTCCACATCCCATGACAGGCCGTGCAGCTTCAGCTACGGGCCCTGCGGATAGGCGGTCAGGAAGCCCTGGAACAGGACCTGCCAGTCCACGCTCTCCTGAGAGAAATCAGTAACACAGTGGCTTCAATCAAAGTTTATTTATATAGCCCAATATCACACATTTGACATCTGTCTCAGAGGGCTTTACAGTTTACACAGAACAAGACGCCGTCTGTGCTTACACCCACACATCGGACAAAGGGAGAGCAACAGGGCAGGGATCCCTCTAGGTTTAAATGGCCTACATTGGTATTATGGTTTATATGTAATACCAGTATCACTTTGGCTTCAACATCTTAACACTAGATGGAGCTAAAACACATGTAAAGTCAAATCAGTGGAAATGAGCAGTATGGCAGATGCTGACACTATCTCCCTTTTGAGTTTATGTACAGGAGCTGAAAACAGTTGTGGATAGCTAACGGTTTTCAGAAAAAATGAAAAGAAGAAAGGCATGGGGATTTCTACATGTAATGTTTACATTGACACTATTACTATTGATGACTGTTCTTCAATTTCATTTCAAACCTTTATTTAACCAGGTGAATCCCATTGAGATCATCGTTCTAAATTAAGACAACAGCTATTGGCAATGTGTTTCCTCCTCTGTACAGATGGCTGGACTCACGGTGGGTCGCAGTGTGTGGCTTGTCTTCATCTTCTTCTGTGTCGGGGCCAGAGCACCATTCATCTCCACTATATGGCTGCTTCTTCTCCAGAACACAGCGCCGCTTACTGCGCATCACACCCTCTAGAGGATAAGACACCCACGTCAACAACAACTGTCACAGTATTGACCCTTTAAAAAGGGTATAATCTATATTATTATTATTCACCACTGATGGCCTAAACTCAACCACCACTGTATTATCCAGAGCCCTACTATTATCTCTAATGCAGTTTGCCTTACTCTATGGAAGTTATAGGATCCTGGCTTACAGCTGCATTTCAATCTTTAACCTCTGCTCGTCTCTGTAAACATTTTAATTGTATTTTCGCAACAAATGTCTATACATGCTAATCCCATCTGCACATGCAATGTATTGAGAAGCATGAGCCGAGCGTGCTCACATGGTGTAATTAGGATGTTGTGGATGCACAAGGTGCTGTTGGCCAGAGAGTGCAAACAGCTGCAGGAAATATGTGGCAGCTTTAACATTTCCAGAAGGTAACCTGCAGTAAAGAGGCAACGCCAACTTCTGACAGATAATACAACGTTGAGTTTAAACTCCTATGGGGACTGGAGAGAAAAGCTACTTTGGTAACATCCATATACTGTCACATATTAAGAACATCTCTATAAACAGGACAGTGAAAACCTTTCAGGTTCATTACTCAACATCTTACTGACTGTGGCAGAAAAAGTACCTTCCAATAAACACATCAGATGAGCTTGGGTAACCACAGGCCTAGTAGACGCGTATGAATGTACATTAAGGAAGGAAGGAAGTGTGCAGTGACAATAACAAGGACAGCAGAAGGAAAGCTGCTGCCTTGACACAGAAAGGCAGAGTAAAAAGAGCTGACTTCGTCTTCTGTTGACATTTTTGTTACCAGCGGTTACCGGTTTAAAAGGAAAACTTCACCTTAAAATGACTATTTGAATAACTCCTGTGTAAGGCAGAATTGTTACAGAAAATTGTTTTTTTTCACTTGCCTACAAGGATGAACAATGAAATTCGATAAATAGTGTAAATCCTTGATAAATCTTGATGATTTGAAGTGAACACTTACAGGTTCATGCACAGACTCGAAGAGCATCAGCGAAATCTTGAGACACGTAGTGCACAATAGTAAATGTGTTTCAGATTTTGTGAGCACAAGATTCGATGTGTATCTGGCGTTTAACTGGGCCCCAATATTGTGCTTAATTGTAGGTTCATAATTGTATTTTGTGCCTATACTGTGACATGTTTAAAGGTCCCATGTCATTATTTTCCGGTTATTACCCGTCCCCTTGTGTGTTATGTAGCTTTGTATGCATGTAAACGGTCTGCAGAGTCTGCAAAACGGAGCTCCAACAAGGCGTGTAGGACAGAGAGTGAATACACAGAGATGCTGTATGAGAAACCAATGTGAGTTTGGAACATTGAACAATGTAAATCTATTCTAGTAGACCTCAATGATGGAATTATGATCAGTAGAAATGGCCATGACATGGGACCTTTAAATGCTTTAATGGTCCATAAGCTCTTTATTTTTCTCATACTGCCTGTGTTGCAGCACCTCTTTTCCCCCCCTGTCTGAAACCAAAGCCCAGTCTGATCTGATTGGTTAGCTGGTCGGCTCTGTTGTGATTGGTCAACCGCTTAGAGATGCCTTTAGCCTATCACGTACAATGTGTTGGAGCACTAGCCAATAGAAGCGCAATTGTTACATAGTGATGTCAATGTGTCAAAGGACTTCAATCGAGGCGTTTCAGGCAGGGGGGGGAGTGGGTGGGGGGCCTTTGCAGACCATTACATGCACAAAAACCCATATAATACACTACAGGAAAAGTACCCAAAATAGCAGAGTAGGGCCCCTTTAAGTTTTTTTCTTTTTCTGCTTTCTAGATTCTCCGCTCACTGTGGAGGCATGCGAGAAAAACAACATTTTTATCAAGGATTCAAGGTAGCACAGGGTGAGTAAGGGTTAGGCATTTCTTTCAAGGAGAAACTTATCAGTGTGCTAAGACTATTCATCACTATACAAGTTTCCAGGTTTGGTGGCGTAGTGATTTCAAGGAGAGAGGAAAGAGGCTTACGTTTCATTTAAATGCATTTTGTGTAAAATGTAATAAAAGGGAATGAGAACAAAAGCGGTGTGTGTCTTTGTGTGTGTATGGAGGTCACATGGAGTCCTATTTTCTCACAATTTTTCCCTCTGTCCCTCTTTGTATTAGAACCACACCTGAGTGTGTGTGCACGTCGGTGTGTGTTTAAAGAGATTCCAGTCATGTACAGGAAGCCTTAAAGAGTTTTACAAAAATCTAATTTCCCTCTGCATCAATCACTTACAGAAACACTTAAATAAGCAACACCAATCAAAGATTGTGTGCTGAACCACATGATCAATCATATTTACCAAGACACTCACACAACAAAGCCTCCCCCACCCACTCATTCAATGCTTCTGCTTTATAAACAACCTCTGTAGGCTTACTAAGTTTTGGTGACCTCATGACCCGTCTGAGCACTACAGGAGGCCCAGATGCCTTTTCATTTGGGACACGTCACTGCAGCGCAGGCAGGGCACAAGGTATCAAAAGCCAGGGGGAAATTCTGACGCTTCACTGAAAGGTCGGGGCATTTCAGCAAAACAAGTTACTCTCTCAGTCCTTACATTCACTTCCTGCTGTGGAGGAGGTGAATGCTCGTAATCTGGTATTTCGGGTAAAGATTTAGCTGATAGGAAGGTAGAGGAAGTGAACTGCTGCATACTTAGAACACAGACGCACTGTCTATATGTCCGGGACTCTGACACAGTTGTATGTGCGCATGCCTTACCTCCTTTGGCATCCGTCTCAAGGGCTGGAGGAACTGCACTTCGGGAATCACCAGAGTCCATGGAGACACTCCGCTCCCGCTTGGATTTGGTTTTCAACATCCCTCCGACGCTGCTTACTGATTGGCTGACTGCTTTCAGCCCAGGGTTGCCGGGGGATATCTGGTTGGTTTTGACTCCATGGCTCCCGGCACCAACGCCCTTTGGACCCAAGTGGCCCGCGGCTCCCTGCTGCTGCTGGGCCTGCTGGTTTACACTGGGTATTCGGGATTGGTTGTCACTGGTGACCTGCTTGCCATGATTGGCCAGTTTATTGTCCGGGTGCATTTGATTGGCTGGTGATTGCGGTTGAGGTCTGGTGTGGAGAAAGTGGTTTGTCAGTGGAGCTCACATGGTGAACAGGCGACACTGATGGAGAGAAGAAAAAAAACATCAGTATTTCAGACAAAAAATCTAAAGTTAAGAGAAATTTGAAAAAAATAATTGTGAAAATGTAGCATATCCCATATTTCAAAGGTCCAAGTCAAGGATTACTAACATTTCACTTATTTGACTTGAATCATACATTGTACTCCTTTACTAATCTGGATTGCTACCATTTTTTTTTAACCACAACCTCCTTTTGTGATACAATTTCTCTTCAATGACTAATTTGGGAGCAATACAAAATATGACAACTGTATACGTTTTGTTTTTTTGAATCCCCATATCACGCCCACAGTAAGTGGGTGGGTGACACTCTGGTTCCAGGTTAGGCCTGTTCACTCACCTCATCTCAACCAGGCGCTCAACTGACACTTTTCCATGCTGCTCTCCAGGCTTCACTGACCACACATGGACCTGGAGGACAGGAGGGTAATATCATCAGTGGAGCCAGATAGCAATCTCTACAGTCAGCACTATCTGTCAGTGTGTGTCCTCAGCCCGGGTCAACATCAACTTCATCAGCAGAGACGAGAAGCCAAAAGATTGATAAGACAGCAGGGCCGCTGTGAGGTAACTATTCCTTTAAGGGAACAGAGCACAGACTGAGCTGGTGGAGGGGGGGAGGGACCTGCAGCTCAGAAGTAGCTCAGCAGCGTGTCAGGTCCCTCCCCCTGCCAAACACTTTGCAAACCACAAAAACTCCACCACACATTCCACAACACAGTCTGTAGCAATACCTGTCTCTCCCTCCTCACGCAGACAGACACACACTTTGAGTGTAAGCACTAACAGGCAAAAACTAACAACCTGTTTATTACAGATTTGAGTTTAGACTTCCACCAAAACTTATGAGTTTTTCAACATTTGTTTTTATGTACTTGACTGAGTTTGAATAGCCCAGACGACGAGGCCTTAGATCTTACATATCTACTTGAAGCTGTACTGGTCATTTTGGGGAGTAAAAAACAAAACTAAGCAGGATTCAAGCTCAACATTAACACTTTCCACCACACAAGGCTTCATTCTGGGTTCAAGTCCATAGCTTGCAAGCTGACGCCCTCTCGACACCACCACCTGCCTGTGTCGGTAACCCCAAGCTTCTGATTTTAACCTTTGCAACTTGGGTGTGCTTCTCGGTGCGTCGGAGAATTTGTGTGCAGTCTGCAAACTAGCCGTACACAAGTGTTCTTGCTGCGTCTCCCACTGAAGCTGTCTGTGCACAGAGCGTTAAAACAGCAGGTCTCAACAAGACCATTCCACACCTGTTGCTAGTGAACAATAGTTTGTCCAAACAGCCATCACAGCCTGTTCGAAGATATTTGACTGACATGATGCAGATCTCTTGTAAACATTTCCACTGGTTTCCATTCTTGAACGATGACACGGGGCGTTGTCATCGGTCAGGTGAACTGTGGCTCTCTTACGGCACCATCCGTACCACTCACTCACCTTGACAGGTAATGGTAAACACAATGCTGTAATTAGTCATTAACTAACAGCGGCTCATGTCAGCACAGAAAGGTGCCTTGTTCGTTGGCTTAGGCCTTCATCACTCATTAACTCAAACAGGGACAGTCAGACGTCGCTGCTGTTGACAAAGTGTGACTCACTTGCTTTGTGTAACACAAAGTGGAGGCAGACTAATCACATGGTGAGGCGCTGACCTTCGAGTGGACAGTTTAAAAAAGATAGGCCCGTTTAAAGTGAATACCACTCCTTGCCACGTGAATGGAGCCTATATTTAAGCAATCAGGCACAATGAACATTACAGTGATTTAAAGCAAAAGCCTTTTTCCTTGTTTTGAGTGTTTTCCAGGTTTACATTTTAACAAACCAATCTGGTTTTAATGAATAATTTAACATGTATTAAAGGTTTTGCAGTGACCTTTTGAAATAGTGGCTAGATAAGATGCTGGTGTGACTAGCAATTTTTGGTTAGAGCATTAATGTTAACTGAACCGTTATGCAGCCACAGGTCTCAAACAAAGCAGGTGTCTCTGTTTGTTTGGAGCTGTTTACGCGATTCAAATATCCTTTTCTTTGGAAGAATCTCAAGACCCAATTTGAGTTGCAACATCTGGACATTTCAGCGCATTTCAGATAGCAGAATACTATACAGAATGTTTTACTAGAGTTTATTTTAGATTATGCGGGTAATTTGGAATCACTGACATTTCATTATTATTAGAATATTAATCCAGGGTATAAATGAAGAACTTTAATAAACAAATGAAGGAATCTAAAGGGTACATCTTTCCATTATGATGAATATTTTTCCAACAAAGGTTTGTCACACCTTGACGATACACAGATCAACACCTTGCAAAGTATTATGGAACTCTTCCAAACAACTGGTTGCACCGGTGATGACTTGCGTCTGAACTACTTGTTGTATCGTACATGTTGTATTTTTCTAAATATAGATCTATTTGTGATGATTTGTTGTTCTCTTTGTATATCAGCCTAAGAAAATGATTGCACCTTGATTCAATGCGGTAAAATTAAAATAAATAAATGACAAGGGGGTTTATAGTTGTTATAGGTGTTGGTGAACAGCAGCTATATATGTTTAGCTCTAATTTATTTTTGTATTATAAAGGAGACTTTGACTATTCATACACGTATAAAGAACCAACTCTAAACTTAATCGGTGTCATCCCTATTCATCACATCCTCACCACTTAAGCAAGTCTGAAAAAGATATTTAGCCCTGAAGCTTTAGAAATGATCCGTACTTAATGACGGTGACATTTGAATGATGAATTAAATCAAATCAACTGCTATGCAATTATTCCGAAATGTAATAGAGGTTGGAAAATTGATTAAATTAATGTAATGTCCCTTAAGGGCGAAATTCTCACATTCCTCCCCCCCCACATTTTTCACCAAACCAGTTTGAATAAAAGAAAAAGAAGAATCTTAAATACAATTGATCAGATGAATGTAAAGTGCTGCCAGAAAACAATATTTCTGTTTGTTAAAAACGGTATAATTACTCAAAAAATACGAAAATGCATTTGCATTGCGTTGTTGTTTACGTCTGCTGCTGTTTACGTAATAAATCCTTTAACACGATTGATGGTACATGATTTGACAACTTTCGCTGTTTCTAAACTGTATTATACAGAGGCATGTGTGCACCTAATAGAAAAGATCCAAAAGAATGGGCAAAGTAGCATCAGGAGAAATAGTGTCTCAAGGGGGCAAAGCCTAATATAGTAATTGAAATATAGTATAGAAATAATACTTAAAATAAAATCAGGTTAATTGCTCCACTTAAACATAGCTTGTCGCTAACACAATCCTATTAAAGTCTGCCTAGATGACCACACAACAAGCTGTAATGTAATCAACCTGATGGTAATTTTGGAGCCAGCAAAAGGTGATGCTGTGCTCAATACTCAATCACAAACCCCTAAAACTAGAGATAAAGAAGATTGTTAGCTATTATGCCCAAAATGAAATAAACAGACTTTAAAATGTAGAGTTCATGTCTACAGAAGAGGATTAGGGCCACATGAATTTTTTTTTGGGAGGATTTGAAAAAATACAAAAAATAATTCATGTGGCCCTAATCCTCTTCCGTAGATGTAAGATCAAATTGCTCATATTTAAAAAGCTGCTGCTGAAGAAAATGGGTTTTCAGGCCCTATAAAGTAGCCTCTGTATGCTCCATAGGAGTCTGTATTGTGCAGCAGTTTTACATGACACAGCCTTAATATAGAAACTAGATACCAGCTTATTGACATTTCTAGAAAGACTTACACCAACAGTGAATTGAATATTTCAAAACCCTAGAGATATTTAATCAATCACTATCAAATAGGCAGAAAACCAGTTATCGACTTACTAAAACAGAAGCATCATGCATGCCACAGGAAGTGTTTTCATGACAATGTATTACTGCCAATGTTCCTGACATGGCACAATGTCACAATCAAGTCCAACTGACACCTCTTGATGATGTGGAGGAATTCTTCTAGATCAACAAGTCAGCCTGAGTCCATGAGACGTGGAGCCAGCTGAGAAACTGGAAACAAAACTATGAGGCCTGGAATTATAATGTTCATGCCCTGATGAACATTTAATTGTTTTACTTTGTGAGATACTTATCAATCATTTAATGCTACATGTCCCAAGTCTAACAAGCAGAGACCAGCGGGGCACACGTTAACACAAAGGTTAGCCGTTATCCAATAAACAAATGTGTTTCTGCATAAAATGTTCTCCTTTCTCTTTTGACATTTTCAAAAGTTGTTTGGGAAACAAATTCAATTTAACAGTTGGACTTTGTCCAGTTGCATCCAATCGCTGCCCCAAACAAATTAGGGGAATAATTGAATGATGTTTCAAATCCATAGCACATGGTTTTTACCTATAGAGCCAAGTCATTAGGGCCATGATGATTAGTAAATATCCACACAAAAGCAGGCAAACAAACACTGCTACAACCCTTTAACATCAGCAGAAACAAACTTCCCTGTTCTCAGTCGGGCTTGAAGGTTTGATTAACTATATCTTGCCAAAACTAATGTGTTTAATGTGGAACTTACATATATTTGTTAATTCAATGACTATCCAGGAATTTAAAGAAAGTTCATGGGGGATTTGATTTCCAGGTTTCAGTGTGAATACCAGGAAAACATCGCAGCAACTACAATACAGGTCAGAATGTATAACCGCTGTGTGTGTATGTCAGTGTGCCTACGGTAAGAGGTCGAGCTCCTGTTTAGTCCCAGTGGGTCACACAGTGCTCTGTATTTTTAGAGCAAGCTGGTATTAATAGACCCTGAGATCCTAGGGAAGTGGGGGGCCAACAGCGAGAACAAAATACGAAGCCAGGTCCAAAACACAGATGCCACAGTGCTGCTCGGTGGGCCGACCCACCAGTAAACACTAAG